AGAGAGAAAAAAAAAAAAAGAAGAGAGAAGGGAGAGAGGATGAGGTGGAGGAGAAGGAGGAGGAGGAGAAGGAGGAGAAGGAGGACGAGGAGGAGGAGACGAGGAGGAGGAGGAAGATGAAAGCGAGGAGGAGGAGGAGGAGGAGGAGGAGGGAGGAGGGGGGAGGGGGGAGGGAGAAGGACCACTTCTGCCCACATCAGCTTTTCTCGCAGGCCAACTGCCTGCACCCTCATTGCGGTGTGGTTTCTTCTGTGGCGCAGGCAAATCGCTTGTGTCATTGCGGTGTGTGTGTGTGTGTGTGTGTGTGTGTGTGTGTGTGTGTGTGTGTGTGTGTGTGTGTGTGTGTGTGTGTGTGTGTGTGTGTGTGTGTGTGTGCGCTGCGTTTTTTCTTGCAACCTGATGGTCCGTTGGACCAGGTCGTGATCCTCACTTCCCCTCATTTCTTCTTTGCTGATGATTGCTGTTGGCGCATACAATGAACATTCAGCGTGTAGGTGTAGTGTGGTGGTTGTGCATGGGTTCCCTTGCACTCTTGACTCTTCGACCTATTCTTACGCAGCTGTAAACGTCCCAGGGTACGTCATCGACGTCCAATGGCCTTGCACCCTCAAGTAGATTTCCGAGTGCAGCGTGAGAGCTGATCAGCTCATTGCATCTATCTCGCCTGGCGCACTCCTCCGCAATTCAGAGACTCCTGCAGGGGTATGCTCGCTAGCTTCCGCGCAGGAAAAAAGAGGCACGGGTGCCGCACTTGTGAGGCACGTTGGCCCGCGACGGTTCACACGCGCGCGAAGACTGGGCCACTGGGCGGGCACGGGCATGCCCAGGGCCGTCCCTCAAGCGGACGACTCCCACGCCAACCTCTGCATTCGCCGCGACAGGCCGCAACCTTCATGCGCAACCACAGCCTGGAACCCACTGGGTGAAGGGGGAGTGGGGCGGTGTGTCAGAAGTCGAACGAAGGGAGGGGTTGGGGGCCCAGGGAGGAGGGGCTTCGAGTACCGCAAGCCGCATGCTGGCACGATTGCTGGCCGTGCCCCACTTCTGCCCGAGACTGGCGCACGGATCGCGTTGGCCGACTCTAGGGGGGTCGGTGCAATAAGCACTGGGCCAGGGCAGGGCTTGGTCAGTGTCAGTGTCTGCGTGCAGCTAGCAGCTCCCAAGAGTTAGACAATGGGACAAGCGCCAGGTAAGACCAGCACAAAGCATAAGGCAACGCAAGCAATAGCTCCCATAGCTGCACGAGGCAGTGCCGATCCCGCGGCAGAGGTCAGGATGAGCAACTTTCCAAGGGCTACCCTCTGCATCGTTTCCTCTCGGCCTGTCCTAGCCCTCAGCCGTGAGCCATGGGCTTCCATCTTCGGCTTCAGCTTGGGCATCTGAAGGCCTTGCACACCTACCGCGCATCTTTGTGATCTGGTCGCACTGCAGCGCTGAAGCGTCGAGGCTGCGTGTGGCGAAATGTCAGTGCCCAGGCGAGAGCCGTGAAGCGCAAGGCCAGGTGAACGGGGCGAGTGCCTCACTAGAGGGGAGCTTCTCGGAAGCAGGCCTCGAGGTGAGCACGGGCACCGTTGCCGCCCATTCGGGCTCACGGACCGCCTGCCGTGTGCCCCGCCCGTCGACCCGCATCGATCCCCACCGCTCTGGCCACGCGCTGCCCCTTCGCATGCCCGTGTCCGTGGTCACGTGCAGTGGGCGGGTGCTCGCGGCCCTGGACAGCAGCCCCTCGTGGCTCCTGCGCGACGTGCTCGCGGCCATCCCGGAGCAGGCCGCGGCCGTCGACTGCAGGCGGCGCATCTTCTTCGGGCAGGCCGAGCTCTGCGGGGACACCACGCTGGCCGATATCGGAGTCGGCACCAACGGTGAGTTGACCCTCGTGGTCACCCCGACGTTTCAAGTAGCAACCTGCTGCGATGAAAACTCGGTGAAGATCTGGTCGGTAGCCTCTGGGGCGTGCCTTCGAAGCCTGATGGGACATCGGGGTTGGGTGCGATCTGCCACATTCTCGCCCAACGGGCAGGAAGTGCTGACCGCCTCGGACGACATGACGGTGAGAATTTGGTCCGCCCACTCGGGGGAGTGCCAGCACACACTGGAAGGCCACCGGGGCCTAGTCTGCTCCGCGACATTCTCGCCCAGTGGGCAGCAGGTGCTGACCGCGTCGCAAGACAGGACGGCGAAGATTTGGTCTGCAGCCTCCGGAGAGTGCCTGCGCACGCTGGCGGAGCATCAGCGCTGGGTGTGGTCTGCAAAGTTCTTGCCCAGCGGGCGGGAGGTTTTGACCGCCTCGGACGACCAGACAGCGAAGGTCTGGTCCGCTGCCTCTGGGGAGTGCCAGCACACGCTGGAGAACGACCGGCACTGGATGAGGTTCACTGCGTTCTCTTCGAGCGGGCAGCAGGTGCTGACTGCCTCACTTGGCGGCCTGGCAAGGATCTGGTCCGCGGTACCAGGGGAGCGCCTTTGCACGCTGGAAGGCCATCGGGGCGTGATTCACTCCGCTGCGTTTCTGCCCGACACGCAGCAGGTGCTGGTGGCGTCCAACATGGTAAAGATTTGGTGCACTGCCTCTGGCCAGTGCCTGCACACGTTTCAGGACCTTCCTGCTTTGGTGAGCACCATTGTGTTCTCGCCCGACGGGCTGGAAATGCTGACCACCTCCGAAGAAAGGACGGCAACGATCTGGTCAGCTGCTGGGGAGCGCCTGCGCACGCTGGAGGGTCACGCGGGCCTGGTATGCTCTGCAGTATTCTCGCCGGACGGGCAGCAGGTGATGACCGCTTCGCTAGACGGCGCGGTCATCGTTTGGTCCGTGGCCTCTGGGAAATGCTTATGCTGCCTGGAGGGTCACCAGCCCAGCTTCGCACCGGTCGCAGCGTGCCTCAGCTGACATGCGGCTCAACGCGGCTACACGAGATGTGACCCTCGGAGCAGTGGCCACGCTGTCTTTTTTTTTTGTGAAGGCATAGCAGACCCAGCCCCCTTGGCCAGGGCGGGAACAGGCCAAGAATACCCACGAAGTTCGCCATCTCGGGCGCCATCAGAGACACCCAGAATGATATACAGATGCTCGTGAACACGGCCGTTGGAAAAACTACTACCTTCAATGTGGTGGCCAGCTACACAAGCAAGCACGTAAACATGATATACACCGGCATCATGCTAATCCCACCGTTGTTCCTAAGTAGTGGGTAAGAGGTATCGTTGATGCCTGTAGGGATTTCTTGGGATGACCCTTGGAAGCTTCTTGGGATGATTCTCTCTTGCATGCAAGCTATATGGCGCAAGTGACACGCAAGTGGTACCATTTGGACCATGCCGATCCCAGCTGGTTTCGACCCATCGTGCCTCGGTTGTCGGTCAGAGGCTCTCTCGAGGCCATCATGGCGTGCCTCCCTCTTGGATGACTCGTGGGAGCTTCTTGAGGCATCTTTGAAGGCCTCTTTGGGGCCTCTTGGTGGCCCCTTGAGGGCCTCTCGGGGTCTCTTGGGGGGGCCCTGAGGCGTCTTGAGGGTTGTTAGCAGGCTCCGGGGCCATCTTGGCCCCAGAGCACCTTCGCTATCCCCCTCGGGTCCCTCTCTTGGGGGCCTCTTGGGCCGTCATTGGAACCTCCTAGGCAGTCTTGTGGCCGTCGTGGGCAGTCAGGGAGGGGGTGCTCTTTGGGGCCTCTTGGGCCGTCTTGGGGCGATCTTTGGGGGCCGCCGTGGAGCGTCGAAAGCCCTATCTTCGAGCGACTCGGGACGCTCGTGGGCCGTATCGGGATCCTTTGGGGGTCCCATTGGACCTCTCTTGGGCCCCTCTTGGTCCTAACCGATTGACGCAGGAAGTCCAAGACGCGCCCGAGGGCGCCTGGCACTCTGGGCTGTGGGCTCCTTCGGGATTCTTCAGGAATGAGGAAGGCATTATATCGACCTGAGGGCATTCCAACTCTTGCCTCAGGGCACGGTGGCGGATCTATGGGACACAGAGGAGATCTTTCCAGACTAACAGCAGCTAACAGACGCTGGCAGGCAGCTGGACGTCGCAGAGGCTCTACTCGACCGCAGCATCCAACACCATTCAATGCTCCTCGTGACGCTCCACTGCCTCATTGGTGGCACGGATGCTCCCCAGCTGGGTGAGGACGAGCACCGCGGCAGGCAGAGAGGACAGCTCGGACCTGCGCAGACCCTGACGTCCGCGCGTCGTGAGCAAAAGCACGCGACGGCATGCCTTGAGTACGTCTCCGCTTTCGAGGCCCCGGGACGGGCGAGACAAATGTTCGGATATGAAGCACATCTATCCTCGGGAAGGTGCCCAGACATGAGCTGCGGGAGAAATCGGGGCCGACTGCGCCTGCACTCGCGCGAGGGCTTCCCGCGCAGGGTCGCGCGTAGGCGCCCTCTTCGTCCCCGCGGCGTGCCGCGCTCGCGGCTCGCGTGGGCCGCGGCGCAGGGTCGCTGAGTCTCTTGGCGTGAGACCCGCTCCCTTTCGCCTGGCATCGCTCGGACGTGGGTACTTTTGGGAGCGCGGCTCGCGCTGGACCATCTGGACCATCCAGGGGCAGCTCGGATCCTCTTGAGGAACAAACGCGCAGGAAGCCAGACACTGCTCGGGGAATGCACGTCTGAGCGGTGCCACGCTTCGTCGCTCGCACGTGGAGGCGGGGAGGGGGGCACGACGTCGGACGCCCAGGAGGCGCGGTCGGCGGCAACGCCCGCCGCCTCCCCGCTGCGGCACGCCCCCCGGCCAGCCCGAGAGCCTGGTGACTTCCCGCCAGAGAGGCGCGACAGTTACACACTGCTCAGTTCTGATTCTTCGAGAGTTCCTTGATTCTTGGGGGGGCTCAGGTCCTCTCATTTCTGATTGTGCCGTCCTGGGCCTCTTCCCGGCCACTGGGGGGCCAGGAACAGTTAGAAACGAGCACAACTAGAAACGAGCACGACTAGAAAGGAACGACGTGTAGTTTCGATCGGACGGGGCCCGGTCAGGCCTCCCCCGCCGTTGCCCCCAGAGGTCTCGACCCGTTCCCGGCCGAGTCGTTCTTGTGAGGGTCCCCGGGGCCAGTGTAAGGGCCCCCAGAGGCCCCGAAGAAAGTGACGAGCCGTGCGTCGTAGCTTGTTTCATGGCCCGGTAGGGGGTCAGTGAGGGCCCCCAGGGGCCCCGAAGAGAGGGAAGAGCCGTGCGTCGTGATGTGCTTCATGGCCCGATAGGGGGTCTGCCTCCTGCCCCCCCCCCACCCCCCGGTAGCCAAGGCCTTGGCTCCCTGGCCCGCCGCTGGGCCCCCCCCCCTCTCTCTCTGCGCGCCTTCGTGGGCCCGGGCCAGGACGAGGGCGCAGCCGCTCCAGAGCGCTCTGGAGCGCTCCGAGAGGGCACGGGAGCGCTCTGAGGGCTTCGGAGGGGTGCCCCGAGATCTCGAGGCGCGGTGGATGTGGACATCTGCCCGCCCTCGGTTGCCGGGCAGAGATCCACATCCGCCGCTCCCCGAGGCCTCGGGGCACGAGGCAGCGGCCGTGGACATGGCCATATCCTTCTGGCGGCGCAGAGGATGCAGCCGTTCCAGAGCGTGCCGGAGCGCTCGCAGAGCGTTCTGGAGCGCTCCGAGAAGGCCGCGGTGCCAGAGACATAATCCAGAGTCGCGGATCCGGATCTCAGAGATACTCGGTTTCTGCGGCCAGGCTGTTCTCCTTGTCTTGTTCTGCGTCTTCTTCGACCGTGCTGTGCGTTCCAGGCACCACAGCTGCGGCGCTGCTGTACAGACCCGCGTCACGCTGCGGGGCGGTGAGGTCCGCCAGCCTCGACGGCAACGCCCCGCACAGGCCTCACAATCCCAGCCATCAGTTCCCACAGGCACAGGCCAATGCCTGACTCCCAGCACAGGCCTGGACATCAAATCGAAACCGACAGTCCGCACCTGTCTGACGGGTGTGATCGATAGCTGGTACGCCACCGAGGGGCACCGTTAGGGGGGATAGGCTCGAGGGGGGATGTTCTCAGGCGATCGCAAACATGGATTAAGGGGGCGTGGATTAGCGACGGGTTCCGTTTCCTTGGGAAATCGCGGATTTCCGCCGCCGAACGAGGCGGCACCGGCCGCATTTTGGGGTGGGCACCTCCCCCGACCCGTGGATTTGGCGACCGCGCGCCAAAATTCACGGACCGCCAATCCATGGTTGCGCGCGCCCCCGGTGTTCGCAGCTCGCGGCTCGGAGCTCGCAGCTCGGAGCTCGATGTTCGAGGGGGGACGTGCGGAGTTCGAAGATCGGAGTTCTATAGGTCTTCGGACGTTTCCCGCAGGCCCCCGGAGGGGCTCCAGTCTCGGGGCTTGGGCGCCGCGTAATGGGGGGGTCATAAATGGGGGGGCGGCGAGTGTGGTCCGAAAAGGTACCCAAATGGTACCTAAACGAGCCCCCTGGGGCTCTAGAGGGGCCCGAAAGGGACACGAAAGGGGACCTTTTCTGACCCCCCCATTTGTGACCCCCCCATTGAGCCACGCCCAAGGGGTGCTCTCCGGAGGCTGCGCCTCGGCGAGGGGCGCTCTGGGGTCTGCCCGCGCCGTCCCGGTTTAGCCGCCGGAGAGCGCGGAGGCATGGGCCCGGAAGCCCGGGGGCAGCTCGAGGGGAGTGGCTGGGCTCGGGGCTACGCCGGTCCTTCCACAGCTGTGGAGGGCGATCAACTGAGAGGAGAAAGAGCTTGTTTCTTTATTGCTCGGACCCGTAACGCCCGTTACGGGGGGGGGTCCCCCCCCCCCCCCCCGAACGGTAACGAGCGTACGGGGACGGGGGTGCAGACCCCCCCTCCGTCCAGGCAGGCATGCTGTGACGCTCACATGTGTGCTCAGGTTCGAGGTTCGAGGTTCGAACCTCGGCGCGCACTGGAAGTGATTTGGCAATATGCTTTAAGCATCTTGCCAAATCAATTCCAGCTGTCAAAAACATGTCTGAAACATTGTTAAACGTGTTTTCAACATGCAGACACATGTTTTAAACAGGTTTAGGACATTTTTCGGAATGTAAAGCACATTTTAAATTCAATGATCGGACTTTTAGGGTGTCCATTGTCGTGGCATCCACAATTTTACAGGGAGAATATTCAATATAATCTGGGGGCGACTTTTTGACCATTGTTGAGCATTTGGGGGCTAATCTTGGGTTGTATGTTTCGTCCGAATTTCGCCTGTCGGGGAACACGCCCGACCTGAGTTCAGGGGGGAACGCGTCGACACATTACCCTCCACCTCCACCCTCAATACCTTCCGACCTCCGCGGAAGGTGCGGAAGAATCCATCGGAAATCAGGGAAAAATACGACATTCAAGGAAGCCCAAGTAGATCATATCGGAAAGAGGGTCGGAAGGTTAGGGAGGAATGTCTGGAAGAATGAGGGGGAGAGTATTGCCCATTCGTCGTCGACAGGGGCCTGATTGCCCACCTCGCCCCAGGAACGTGCTGATTCGCTATCAGGGTCCAACGCCGATCCATCTGCGATGTCTCTCCGAGTCCAGGTCGATGTTTCCCTGTCCACCTGAACCGGTCCCACCCCCTCATCGTTGCCCCTCAGCCAAAGCCGACATGAAGCAGACGGATCATGAGGGAAGCGGGTCCGAAGGTTGTTCGGCCGTATTGCGAAGGACTTGCGGCCAGTGCCGCCGACCCTGAAGGACGATGACGACGACGACGACGATAAAGACGACGACGACGATAAAGACGACGACGACGACGCGACGACTTTGGACCTCGCGCGCCCCATGGCCGTCGAAAAGCTTCTCGCGGCATGAGGAACTGGTCCCCGTGGGAGCCCCGGGGTCCAGGACTCGTCTCCCCCGGGACCTTTCCAAAACGTGCTTGCTTCCTCGCCATTCTGTTGCGATTTGTGGGGCCTCGGCGCCTTTTTTTCCCAACCATCCTGTGGTGTTGCATCCTCGTTTTCAAGGGGCAGCGCCCCGCGTCTCCTTCCTTCCTCCCGCTACCCCCTCCTCCCTGCGCCCGTTCCTGCCTCTGCCCTCCACACCAGTCAAAAATATCTAAAGGCTGCCGCCTCTGCCGCCGACCCCAATTGAGCGACGTATGTTTGATTCGTTTGTTGTCGGGCGCTTTTCCGAGTACGACAGGAAGGGTTCAGGTGAGACATCCAGGCCTGAGCCTCGCCCTCTGGACTCATGATTCTCTGGACGAGGATGTGCAGTACCTTCAAGAGCACAAGCAGCACCACGTGCATCTGGAGAACCCGGAGACGGGGGAGAGGGTGCCCTTGCCAGCGTGTCGTCGGAAGGACAATCCGAAGCTCTGTAAGGCAGATTTCCCACGGACGTCACAGCTCATCGACCGTCCGGTTGTGATCTGCCCAGGTCTGGCGACGCAGTTGGATATGCCGAAGGCAGGCAGGCGAAACCGTATCGGGAGTTTGCATGGGCCCATGAACCATGAGAGTCTGAATGGGACACACCCATGCATGCTTGCCGCGCAGCGTTGCAATTCGGACGTGCAGCTGCCGTACAGGTTGCCTATCACAAGCGAGAGCTGCACGTGCGGTAAAGGGTGTGTGGAGAAGCAGAACGATGCAGCTATCATCAAGGTGGTCCAGATGGCTCAGGACGCCCAGGCAGGATATGCGTGCGATTACTGCACGAAGCGGCAGCCCATGGCCTTCCATGAAGTCCGCGAGTGCTCCAAAGGTATCGAGAAGCTCAACCGGCAGCTGCGCGGGGAGAACGCGAACTACGTCGGGAAGCGGATGACGACGCGGATCATGAGCGACGCCTACGGGAAAGGCATTGTTCGCGGCCAGGTGGAGTGCGCGAATCTTAGAGCGTACGCCAGGGAGAATGATGTGACGTCGGCAGAGTCGATCAAGACCTGTGAGTCAGTCAGTTTCTACGGACGCGAGTACGTCGAGACGGTTGAGAGGCTGTCCGACGGCACATCTGGAGGACGCAAGGCGCTGTTCGCGGAGGTGGATATGCGAAACCCGCGGCGTCGGAAAGTCACTATCTGGGACGTGGCCATGTTGTACGGACTACGCCCGAAGCGGGACGGCCTGTGGCACTTGTCGCCTTACGAGTTCGCAACGCATTGGAGGCCCGTGCTCGTGGCGTACCCAACCAGTATCAGGGGCGCGAAAGCCGACCAGGACAGGCACCGCGCGTTCTTGACAGCGGGAGGAGGGCAGAAAGTGAAAGAGTGGGGCCGGAATCCAGAGCAGGCAGAAGAGCTAGTGCCCGGGGTGGACTACATGGTGAAGGGGGACGCTGGAAAGGATTGGGTGGCTTATCCAGACACTGACGGCTGCCGGCATCTGCGGCACACGTGGGTTCTCGTCCGCAACAAGAGGCCTTTGGCGCCAACATTTTTTCGGGGCGCCGGTGCCGCGTAGCCGAAGTGGAGAAGCTGAACGATCGGCGCGGATTGTCATGTCTTACTTACACCCGTGGACGTTGCGGCAGTCAGAGGCAGACGAGCACGCGGTGTTCGCAGGCGCCCTGCGGCGGAGCTCGACAACGTGGGAGGGCGCCT